TGCCGACCCAAAGGTAGGCTGTTCAAATCCACCAGTTACTTCTTGGGAGACAGATGGGCAATTTCTTCCCATGGGATTTGCAGCCTCTGAAAACCCTCCACACTTGCTTCTCAGCCCACATACTTTCTCGGTCACAAGGAGGTCGTCACAAATAGCTATTTGCACACAAGATAATTGCTTGTTAGCACATCATGAAACCGTGAGCTCTTGGAGTGCAGGGGCTAGGCATTGCTTACTTTTGCTTTCTATGCATCTGAAAGTTAGGCAGTGAATAAGGATGGCAGAAGAAGAATTGATGCTTTTGAGCTGTGGCATTGGAGAAGAGAACTGAATATCCCATGGACTGCTCAAAGAGCAAACACACCTATCTTGGACCAAGTGCAACCAGGGTGCTCCTTGGAGGCAAGGATGGTGAACTTGGTTTCAGATACTTTGGGTATGTTGTCAGGAGGGGCCAGATGTTGAAAAAGGATAGGATGCTGGGAAAGGTATTAAGGTCAGAAAGAGAGGATGACCTTTCACAAGATAAGCTGACACAGTGACTGTAACAACGGGCTCTGAGCATGCCAGCGACCTTGAGGATGGTGCAGGACAGGGCAGGGTTCACATTGTTTGTTCAAACAGTTGCTGAATTGTAGTCAACTCGGTGGCTCGTAACAATAAGAAGACATAAAGCTATGTGTCAAGAACATTCTAAGAATTTGACCAGTGGCTATTAATATGTGAACCACATTGTGCTGAAGGCATTCACAATTCGACTTCTAGACTGAAACTCATGCGTCACTGATGCCGTTGGGTCCCATAAACAGTTTCATTTGATGTTTTAACAATCCTAGCACATAGCAGGAGGACTCTAACATACTCTGTAGACTATGTTATTAAGGCAGCATTTCTCTGGTCGTTCAAATACACCAGTGGGTTTTCAGAAAAAAGATGGGCAATCTCTTGTGCAATTTAGCCTTGGAAAATCCTCTAGAGGGTCAGCTGAGAGTTAATTCTGACTTGATAGCAATGAGTTGAGAAAGTGGACAATTATCTATCATCTTTATTTCATCAGGGAGCAGTGGAGGCTCAGATGCTGTGGTTTATCTAATCTGTGCAGTTTGCTCTGTGACAGTCCAAGGATTATGATCTTAATCCCTGCACATAAGTGTGGTGTGTGTGTGTGCGCCTGTGGTGTGCTGATGTTTCCACTGCTGCTGTCTGAGTTACTCCCTTGTCTGGGTGCCCGTTTGAATAATTCATGCAGCATACTTCTCAGCACCTTGGCATGACTAGTAATAAGAGCCCTGCTCATGGCAGACAATGCAAAAATCATTGGTTTTGCTTCTTCCCCCCAACCCTCCTCTCACCAACAAATCTGGAAGTGAAATTTTGGGAATCTCTGTTGTTTAAAAAGGGAAGCCACTAAGTATTCCCAGAGTATCCCATTCTTCCCAACACTGGTAGACAAAGAAAACAAGTGTTAACTGGAGTGCCAGCTGTATAGCCAGCACTATGCTCATGCTTTCTGCACATTTTCCCATCCGACCTTCTCACCTGTTTCAGCTTTGCTCAAGCACCATGCACCTTTCCTCATAGACTTGACCCCCTCCCTACTTAGTGCCCTCATTCTTCCCCCTCAACAGTGCCTCACTGCATACATTCATGTCTCTTTCAGCTCTTCCTTCAAATCTGCCAGTTCAACATGGTAGCCACTGGCCACCAGCGCTCCTGAGCACTTGAGATGCAGCTCGTCCAACCTGATACGTAGCATACACTACGCACTAGCTTTCCAAGTTTCAGTGTAAAAAAATAGAATGGGAAAGATTTCATTAATATTTTGTGTGATGTTTGTTTGTCTTTGGTTTGTTTTGGTTTTTTTTTTTTTCCAGCCCATGGTACAGGCAATATTTCTTCCTCAACACCACAGTTCAAAGGTATCACTTCTTCTTTGGCCTTCTTCACTCACTGTCCACACTTAAAAATAACTGCACACGCCATTGTTGTAGAGTTGGAAAGGACGCAGAGCTGACCCTCCGGGGGTGGAGGGTGGAGTCCTCGGAGGCTGTACATCTTGTGGTAGGATGTGGCCCATCTTTCTTCCATGGAGCCACTGGTAAGTTGGAACCACCAGAGGGGCCGTCCCCTTTGGGTCAGCAGTCCACACGGACCCCCAGAGCTCCCTGCCAGGATGTTGCTGTTCATTCCCACTGAGTGGGAACCGACTCATACCTGTTCCTCCAGCAGGTTTCCAAATGCTGTAAATAGCACTGGGAGAGACTGCCCATCTCTCTCCCTTCAGAACAGCTGGTGGATTTGAACAGCGTGCCTTTGGGTGGGTAGCACAGCTCTTTGCCATGAGAGCTCTCCCCTTGTTAAGACAGCAGATGCCATTTAAATGTTTTGGTTGTCAGGAGCTGAAAATGACCCAGAGACAACTACCACAATAAAATCATCACCATCGTTATTATATAGCATCTTTACTAGTTATAGTCCTGTCCATTCAGACTTCTGGTAACCCCAGGTATGTCAGAACAGAGCTGTGCTCTGTGGGATTTTTCAGGCATTGATTGTCCAGAAGGAGGCAGGCAGTCAGGTCTTTCTTCTGAGGCACCTCTGCGTGTACGTAAGTCAGCAACTTTCTGATTAGCAGTTCAGCACATTACCCACTCTCTCCAACCAGGAGCTTCTATGTTGTCTTCATTAAACTAACAGCTATTAGCCCTTTCTGTGCTGGTCTTACTCTCTTGTGTGAGGGATTGAGAAGGTCTCTTTAAAGGCTTATTATCATCTCTCCAAGCCATTTTTCATTGTCCCTCTGGGAATTCTCCTAGTTCATGTTTTCATTATTTTCTTCTTTCTTAGTTAACTAATTCTCGCCTTTTGAAAGCAGGACAGAGAATTCAATCATGATTTATGCAGATTAAATGAGGCCAAGTGACGTTATGCTATGCTGAATACTTTATTTATAGTTTTTTTTTAAATGTAAACATAATTTGCTTTGTAGGCACAATATAACAAAAGCTCTAAAGCCACAAATACAGTAGACAATGTTCAGTTCACTCCAGTCAAGCATAAATAACAGAGACGCCTTCACGTTCCTTTAAGGCAAACTGAGAGGTTCTTTACACTTCCTTTAGGCAAACAATCACGTGACGGGAGAGAAGGTGCTTAAACAAGGGGACATGAAACGGTTAGCAGTAGTTTCTTTGTGTCCATTCTTCATGGTAAAGATTCATCTCACTGGTCAAACACTAGTTTTCTCTTGCCCTTCTCAATTTTGAGAAGAAAAGCCTTCTGGAACCAACTGCCCTACTTTTTCCATGTGTCTCCTGTGGAGGCCATAAAGGCCACTTGGACGCAGAATGTCGTTAGGTTTCAATCCCCAGGGAAGGAGAATCCTGATACTATAATTGGTTCCTCATCCCCTCAAGTTCTAGAAAATGCCATTCCTGCCCAGCCCACCAGGAACATGACTCGGTTACGGATTCTTTGCAGGTTTCTCTCACATCTCCATTTTCAGCACGGTAATGGGAAAAACAAGACCAGTAATACAATATATAACACAGGTATCAAGAATAAAATCTCCACATTATATCTCTAAATGGCACAGAACTGGAATACTGGCTAAGTCCTGGGGTAGGAGGGAAAGAGAATGGTGTTGGGGTCCCCTAATGACAGACGCTCACCCCACTACTCATTGGTTGCCAGGGGCATTCACAATGAGGAGAAACTCCCTCCAGAGAAAATCAGGCGTATGTAAGTCATCATCACGAGCTTAGAACTGAGGAGATGGTCTACGATGTGACATTTGTTACAAAGGATTTTGGAAGCAAACCAGGTCATTATTTGAATGCATTCACTCCCATCCCTTGGGGGAAGGAAGTGGGGCTACTGTGAGGCTTGCTGGGTGCAGAGGTTGGGGGACACAGGACCCTGTGATGTTTTGCAGAATGTAAAGTGAGGTGGGCTGCTCATTCTACAGGCTTTTGGGTCTCTATCTTGGTTTTTTGAATGATTTTAAAGCTTGAGTCAAATAGACTGAGAGCATAGACTGGAGTGCCCTTGTGGTGACACCGAGCCCATTCCGAGATGTTAACCTTTCATCTCTTAAATAAACCCAGGCAAGCAAGGGGGCGATGAAGTGTCTCAGAGTTCAGCAGGGATCCTGCAGAGTTCCCACCATGATTTTGTATTTCAAGGAAGGAACCACCCATTGGTCAACAGCTGCTACCCATGGCCTTTCTGTACATTAGAGTTTGCTACATGCTGAATCATGCTTCCTTCACCAGTATTATTTATAAGGGAGCTCTTCTTTGGAAGTTCTATATAAATGGTGGTTGTTCACTAGCAGGAACTGGTGGTAATGCCAACACCATTGAGTCTCATGGAAGACTTCCATGTTAATCCTGTGCTGTGATGAGTTTTCTTACAATTAAAATAAAATGTGTATGATGATGATGGTGGTGGTGGTGATGGTGTCACTGCTCATGAGATGCTTTTTCAGAAAAGCAATCTGTGGCTAGTCCTTCAACTCATGCAATTGATTCATCTTCTAACCTGCAAAACTCAGGCTTACTTCCCTGTGTTTACAGATAAAACCCAATGAAAAGACCCAACACTAGAGGGTTAGAGATTGGCACAAACCTTTTGATAGTGAAACAACTGGATAAGTCAGGAGGTTGCCTCTTTGGAGGGGAGAGGGAAAGTGCTGTTTGGGGGTGGGAATTTCTAAATTTATGGGCCCATTAAAACATCTCCTGGCCTACCCTCTTCCTGCCAAACACGTTGGCAAGCTCTCTAGTCAAAAGCATGGGCAACTGGCAGCAAAAAGTGTCACTGGCCAGATGAATCCCAGGACCTGGACAGTGCTTTGTGATAACACCTTTGCATCTAAACCTGCCATGGCCCATGCCTGGTCTCCTAGGCACTGGGCTTGAGTACTTGCGTGAACTTGCCAGACTGTTCTACAAAGGGGGAGAAGGACCCAAGGGTGAATGGTTTTGATACAGGGCAGCGGGAGAGTGTCACACTGTTGGGGAGGGACATAATACTGCATGGGATGGGCTTGGCACTTAAGTTCAGAAAACAACAGCGATCAAGAGCCTGTGAGCTCAGCTGACTGCAGACAAACACAACACGCACTGGACTACAGCATTTGTTCACTGGGGCACGGAAGAGTGTTCTCAGCCTGGTCTTCTTCCAAACAATCCTCCTGTTCTCCTGCGGGGTCCTGGGTTACTGGATGAAAGGCATCCGCTCCTTGTTCTCGCTGTCCCCCTCATGGTCCTCCTCCTCCTCTCCTGCCTCGCTGGTCTCCGTGCTGTCATTGGCCATCTGGAATTCAACAAAAGCCATTACGGTATGTTCTAGAGCCTGCTTCCACTGTCTCCAAGATTCTGAAGGCTTCCGCAGGAAGCCCCACCACAGGGCTTGGAGGGCTAAGAGCTAGGGATGTTGCTTCCTCTGGAATCCACTACATGTGCACCCTCTTATCTCAGGCTTCCCAGGGAGCAGCCTTTGAGGTAAGGATTTGAATATAAGTATTTAGAATTTGGGAGAGAAGTCCAGAACTAGCATTTCTGGGCTTTCCTGTCTGTGTTCTCAGATTGTTCTTGAGACAATCTCAGGGAAGCATCTTCCTTTGTTTCCTGGCACTGATTTCACAATGTGATTAACCCCTCACTTGTATAAACCTTCAGTGAACACCAATCTTTCCCAAGAGCCCGTAGGCTGCCCACATTTCCTTCCACCTCATCTGCACCTCAGACTCTCCATGAATCCCTTGTGTTGAGGTGAAAAAATTCCTCTGCTTTTTACTCACCAGTGGAGTCGGGGTCTTTTCTACATCCAGAATTAACTTGCCAATGTTCCCTCGGTCATGAATCCGCTGCATGGCCTCTTTCACCTGAGAGATAAGGGGGCAGAAGAGCTCTGGTTAAGAGAAGTCACCCAGAGAAAGCTGGGAAAGGCCAGCCATAAATTTCCCACTAGGGTGCACTGTGGCTTCATAGGTAAACCAGCTAAGTCCAAATCAGGGTGCAAACAAATTGATGATGTGAACACACACTCTGACCATGTGTTTCGTAATTGTTGTTGTTGTTGTTAAGTGTCGTTGAGTCAGAAGCAACTCATAGCGACCCTATGAACGAAAGACCTGAATATTTGTATAACTTTGGTCATTTCTCCATGTTCATAGAGTTTCTGGAGGCAAGCTATTTTGGAAGTGGATGCCACTCCTGCTTCCAAGCTTGTTTTAATTAGGAAGCTCCTAGAGAGGGTTAAACCAGTCTACTCCTTGGAGGCAAGGATTCTGGGGCTTCGTCTGACATACTTTGGACATGTTGCAAGGAGAGACAAATCTTTGGAGAGAGACAGCGCAGGAGGGGAAGACCCTCTATGAGGTGGATTGATTCAGTGACTGGGGTAATCGGGATGCGTGTGTCAGAGGCAGTGAGATTGGCACAGGATAGAGCAGGGTTTAGGGCTGTTGTACATAGGGTTGCTATGAGTCGCAAACGACTCGACGGCACATTACAACAACAACCACCACTAAACACTGTCCACCATGGGTGACCATTATCGCATTTGACACATTAGTGTCACAGTGTTCAGGATCACAGCAACTACAGGTTACCTCTGTACAGCAAATGGACAGACCAGTGCTATGCCACTTAGAAGAATGTTTGACCAAAAACAAAACCAGGCCTGAGGGCCACAGATTAAAATCACTCAACTTTGTCTTGGTAGCATCATTTTCTGTCCACTAGGCCAACAAAGGACTGTAAATTTACAAAGATCTCAAAATAAGGTGGCTATTGTTTGGTGCCACTGACTGAACTATAACTCAGTGAAACCCTACGAACAACAGATCAAAACCCTGCCCTTTTCCTGCGTCATCCTCACAATTTCCACTGGCCATCTACTTCTGAAATAGCTGGCCCTGGAAAACCCTATGAACAGCAATGAAACAAAGTTGAGGCTGTGAAATACATTTTTCAAGGGTCTTTGAGAATTTTAATGGAGCTCTCGTGCCACAGTGGTAAAGAGTTTGGTAATGAAAAGTACAGTGGTTTGAACCCACCAGTCATTATAGAAGAAGAAAGCTGTGTCGGTCTGATTCTGTGACCATCACAGCCCTGGAAAGTCTACGGGGCAGTTCTGCCTGTCCTTCATGGTTGCTGTGTGTCGGAACTGACTTGATAGCAGAAGGTTTGGGTTTTGCTAAGAATCTTAAGAGGTGCATGTTTCAGGTGTCAGACCAGTGATGGTTCTTGAGAATAAATTCATCTTCTACTTGTATAATATAAAGACGGAGCAACACTGATTGATGCTTTTACTATAATGATCCAAGGTTGACTTCAACTTTCACTCAAACTCATTGCCATGAAATTGTTTCTAACTCAGAGCTGACCCTCCACTGTGTTTCCAAGGCTGCAGACCAAATGAAAGGGGACTGCCCATCTTTCTTCTAAAGTGTGTTTGAACTGCCAGAGATGTGGCCTTTGAATTAGTAGCACAACCTCCTATGCACTATGCCACCAAAGTTCCAAAGGGTTACTCTTACTGAGTATTCTCCCCAGAAAAGGGGACCTACATCTCTTTTCAACTTCTGAAGGTTTGACAGACCAATAAAAGCCTTCTGGACTGAAACAAACTCATAGCTGACCCTCCAGTGGGTTTTCAGAGGCTGTACATTACATGGGTGGAGACCATCCATCTACTGTTTATAGGGTTGTGATGAATTGTAGTCCATTCAGTGGTACCTATAAAAGGAGCAGTGCTAACGTGGTGATGGCCGAGTCTGACTTCTACCTCATTCACAAAGGGGAACTTCCCTGATAGATAATATGCACAATATCATCCAAATAACTATGTAGTCAGACATGCCACCCCATGCTCGTACACCCCAATCATTGAGCCCGATGTTCATTGCAAGACTCATAGACTTTGTTCACAGTATTGGGGTTTATCAAGGAAATAGGCTGTAGAGCCGGGGAGGCAAAGAGTATTTCACAATAGTAAGTCTAGGCCGAGTCCAGAAGTCCCAAGCCAGATTAACAAGGTACAATTCCTCATTAGTTCAGACAGCTTCTCAGTCAATAAGTGAAAGTCTAGGTTCTGTTTAGTAGCACAAACAAAACTCTGGTTTCCTGAATCATCCAGCAAGAAAAACCTTTAACTATGGCCTTTATCTCAGAGCAGTTACAAGTCAGTTTTTCCTTCAATCATCCTGCAAGTAAAACCTTTAACTGTGGCCTTTATCTCTAGGGTTCCTGTGGTTACACATTGCCATAATCTCTTCATAGCAGTACCACAGTCTCTTCCCACTCTCTCCACCACCATCACCGCCTTCTCTCACAGTGTGCAAAAACACTCTCTTAAGTTGTCTCACAGCTGTTGATTTGGGAGGCCCTGGGTCCATAGTTAAAGTAGCTAGAGACCATATTCCCCAACCATGGGGGCTAATAAAATGGCTAGAGAAGCCAATTTTCAAGGGTTCTGACAACCCAGCAACAGTCTGCTAGTGGATTGGAACCAGAAGAGAAGTATCACCTTTGGGTTGGCAACACAACTCCTAAGGGTGTGAATAATCTGATTTTTGTCATAGCAGTGGGCCTTTGAGTCAGAACCAACTCACAGCTGACCATCTAGTGAGTTTTGAGAAGCTAGAAATAGCATGGAAAGAGACTGTTGCTCTTTCTTCCTTGAAACTAGAGGATTCAAATCATGTGCCTTTGGGTTGACTGTAAGTCCTTACCACGAGGCCATCAGAGCTCCCCGATTTTATGAGCATTTCATTATGCGGCTGTGTGGAGAATGATCTCTAGGATAAGTGAGGATTAAATGAGAGGAGGAAAGGTCAACATGGAGCCCAGTGCTTGGCATGAGTTAAATCCTCCATTTTATTATGAAATGAGATGAAAATGTAACATCTCTTAAAAAGGGAGGGTGGTGTTTGTGGAAGATCAAGCCTAAAGAGATTTCCTGAAGTCTCAGGATGTTAAATGTTTTTGTTCATTTACTCAGTCCACAAATATTCATAAAATGTTGCCTGTAGGCAAGATGCCATGGTTTAAAAAATAAACAAATAAAAATAGTAAGGCACAGCATCTGCCTTAGAGGAATTCAATCTGCAGCTGATGGAACAGTGCTTGCTTATTTAAGAACCAAAGTCTTCTACTCATTTGGATTCAGATTTGACAGAGCCATTAAAACATTCATATTCTAATTGCTTTTCTGGGACTTTGTCCCAAGGATATAATTCAAATTATGGAAAGAAAGCTTACCAAAAGAAAGATGCTCAATCACATCACAGCTTTTAATGACAAAAAATGGAAGCAACTTCTATGTCACACTATAAGGAGATGGTTAAGTAAAGGATAGCGCTTACATTTATCTACTGACTTGAAATGTTGTATATCATTTAATATGGTAATTAGAAGAGTCTGTAGCAGCATTAAAGGTTTTCTAAATGTTGTTAAGAGAAAAGATTGAGATACACTTTTTGATTTGTCACTCTTGTGTACTGTCGAGTCAGAACCGACCCATGGTTGACCCTCCAGTGGCTTTTCAGAGGCCTCAAGTTGCACGGGAGGAACCTGCCTATCTATCTCTTGTGGAACAGCTGGTGGATTCAAACTGTATACCTTTGGGTTGGCAGTAAAATTTCTTGCCACCAAGCCACCATAGCTCTTTCATTTACATATCCAGAAAAAAATAGCTTTCCTAACCAAACTTATTCGGTACTAATTCCATCTGTATGCTAAGGAAACCGTCTATATGAAGAAGACTGTGGCATCAGGATTGGAGGAAAATTCATTAACAACCTGTGATATGTAGGTGACACAACCTTGCTTGTAGAAAGTCAAGAGGACTTGAAATAATTGCCACAGAAGATCAAAGACTGCAGCTTTCAAACCTCAACATCAAGAAAAAAAAAACTTCACCACTGGACCAATAGGGCAACACCATGATAGATGGAGAAAAAAATTCAAACTGGCAACTGGGCAGCATCATTCTACATAAATCCCTATCAAGAGCCATGGTAACAGCATTCAAGACATCAAAAGGTAGGTTGCATTGGGAAATCTGCTGTCAAAGTCCTCTCCAAAGTGCTAGAGAACAAGGAGTCAGTTTAAAACCAAAGTGTACCTGATCCAAGCCATGGTCTTTCCATTGCTTCCTAAGCATCTGAAAGTTGGACAAGGAATAAAGATGACATAAGAATCAATGTCTTTGAATTATGGTGCTGGAGAAGAGTGCAGAATTGGATTGCCAAAAGATTAAGTAAGTCTATCTTGGAGGAGATACAACCCAGCTGCTCCTTAGAGACAAGGATGGTGAAATTTCATCTTATATACTCAGGCATGTTGTCAGGAGTGGAAAAGGACATCATGCTGAGGAAGGTGGTAGACCTGAGATAGAGAGGAAGACCCTCAACAAGACGGACAGACACAGTGACTGCAGCCGTGACTCAAGCATGATGGCAATGGGGAGGATGGTGCAGGGACAGGGCAAGGCTTAGATCTGTTGTTCATAGAAGGATAGTCAACTCCACGGCACCTGACAACAAGAAGCATGTGACCATTTCCTTGAAATATCTCTAAGCTTCATTCGTTTTGTTTCTTTAGAGAATGCAGACCAAGATACTCATTTCACTGATGCTCAAAGATCTGATGACTGTGTCTAGACAATGCATGGCTATTGCTGACAGAATTGTGGTGGAAACTCAAGTCTATTAAATGTTAAACCTGATGCTACCTGGTCTGTGCTGCTTTGGATTCTGAAAGGCAGAGGAAGTTGTCCAAGCTTCCCAGAATTCAGTTCTTTATTATCCTATCAAGCCATTAAGCACCAAGAACCTCCTGGGAAATTAGGGATAATTTTTTTTAAGCTGCTTCTTCA